AGAGAAAATGTACTGCTTGTACAGAATCTCTACAAAAAAAATGTATCAAAGGCAGGAGAAAACAATGGAATATTCATATCTTCACTCATAAATGCTGTGCGTCAGTGTTAGCATTTTTCATTGATAGAGAATTCTGAAATTTTCATGGGCTCACAGTTGGACAGCAGTTTGTAAAAGCTATTGTTATCTCCACTACCATTTCTTCTATAAACCATTGCTTGTCAAAACAATAAATCAAGACCCTAAATTGCACAAACACATACTGGCTGGCAACTGCTTTCCTGTAAAATAATGCCTTTGCATCAAATATTCCTGAAGCACAGTTCAAAACAGTAGATTATACTCAAAAAAAACAAAAAAAAGAAACGGAAAAAAAGACGATTGTTTCTGGTTTTGAGAGGTTTTGTGAATAAGTTTACAGGCAGAAATCAGCCATAAAAGACACAGACTATAAAGCACTGGGAGCTACAGAACAGCAATCTTCATCCGTAGCTCTTTCTAAATTTCAGAAAACGATCATAAAATTGTAAAAGTACTTGTCAGATTTGAAATGCAGCCTTTGCAAAGAGTTTCTTTGTACCATCACGCTGTTAAAAATATGTATAAATACTGAAAGTAAGGAACTGCAGAAAAATGAACATTTCTAAGCTAGAGTATAATAAATCCAAATAAAAGAGCAGCCTGACAACAGCTTACATAGTAATAATATGATTGTAAAAATGCAAATCAACAGAAAGTGCCAGGCAATCTAACGCATAACTGATCATATTAAAGTCATGTTTTATATTGAAGGCTGAGGCAAGAGAACAATACACTAATTACCTATTTTAATTCACTGAGCAGATCCAAAATTTTACTAGAATCACAGAACTGTAAGGCTTGGAAGGAACCTCTGGGGATCACCAAGCCCACCAGTCCCCTGCTATGGCAGGTTTCCTATAGTAGGTTGCACAGGAAAGAGTATAAGGAGGAGACTTCATAAACTCTCTGGGCAGCCTATCTTATGGCAGAAGTATATTCATACTAAATGAATGCCACACAGTACTGTGAAACCTCAGTCCTACAGCCTTGGCTGCACTTGTACCAAATGCAGCCTTGGCATAGTGAGGCTTTTCTATTTCTATTTCATAGAAGGGAAACAGAGTACAAAGAGCACAACTCTCAGAAAAGGTTACAAAAATTCTTCTAACTCACCAGCTAGAAGACTATTTTCCAAACTATTCTTCTGGTCCTTAGCTAGAATTATATGACTCTCCAGCTCTGTCTTTTGGGAGGTTCGGAGGTGACACCTCTACATCAGAATGCAAACAGGGAATTACAGAAAGGAACCATTCAAGAGCAAGTAGTATTCATACAACAAAACTCCATGCTTGGAGTTTTCCAGATGCTGGAAGTTTTGGTATTCAGCAAGTGGCAGAACACTCCTCTCATTTCCATTCTAAGCTGCAGTTCCATAGCAATGTTGTCAGGTCTTGCTCACACCTCTCCCTCCAGACTGTATTGTGAAGATACACCTCAACCAAAACTGCTCTGAGGAGCTGCGCAGCCTTTCCCATCCTAACCTATACTGGTCATCTCCATTACGTGATTTTATTGAAACAGATTTTTGAGCTGAATTTTTGATGATTTCTCGTCCAGTTGCTGATGGCACCAAAGGACACTGATGCCTGCTTTCAGACAGGATACATGATAATGTAAATTGATGTTACGTAAGTGCTGCCAGGAAATAAGGATCAGTCACCCCCAACAGGCTTGAGCAAAGTCCTACTTTAAACTTCCACAGAGCTTTTAGCTCAGACAGGCTAGTAGATCACATACACTAACATGCTCTATATCGCAGTCCATTATGGTAAAAAGATTACCCTATTATTTTAAGTGGCAACTGCTTGAGTTGGGAAAACTCCTCCAGAGGACAGTAAGTGTTTTGCACCACAGAAAGAGAAACAGCAACACCAGAGCTTGTGAGCTATGCCCCAATCTCTACCATGGCAGAGAAACAAGTCAATGGAAGATCACAAGCCACGATGAACTTTGCCATAAAGAATATTTTACAAGTTATCTCAAGTTTTGCTGAACAATCAGGGACCTTGGGATCAAGTCACCGAGCATCATCATGGTATGGTGATGATTTCACATTTATCTTACAAAGACCGCTTCCCACAATACAGCAGAATCAATTTGCTCTGTCCCTAGCCCTAAATACATCAGAGAGAAACAACATGAAGTCCCCTTCAGAATGTATCATAGATCTGTACGTGCATCAAAAGAGAAAAAATCACTACAGTCAACTGTGATGGGCTGTAAGTGCAATAAGGCAGTTGAATGCTATACAAAATGTCCATTGCTTCCGCGACATACAACAAAGGGAAATCAACAAGGAGTTCAGAGACTCTGGATAGAAAAAGATACATATATTTAAAGGAAAAAATTATTTCCAGAAATGCTACCTCAGCTAGTATTGGAATTCAGTCAGCTCCACACTGTCACAGCAAGGCCTACGTGAACACACTTCAGTTTGTTGGGCCAATTGCAAACACTGCTGAACTCCACTAAAGCAGTATATTGATTACATGCAGATGGAAAAAAAGTACATCATAGAGGTGATGCAATGACTAATTTTGGGTCTTCTGCAGTTTGATCTGTTTTTATGTACGTTAAGGCTGATGCGACCTTTTCTGCTGAACATAGGCTGGCATTTCAAGTGAGGGGAAAAACTGAGCCTCACAATTTTTGGATCTCATACCCATTATTTGCTGGTATTTTACTAAAAACTTTGGCAATTTTCCACTTCGTTAAGGATCAACTAAGGTCTGATGCTGTTAGCAAAAAACAGAGCTACTAGAATACCAATAGAACAATATTTAACTTAAATATATATATATATACACACCCGTACTGCTTACAAAATAGTAACATAATAATTACAGTTCTTGCTGAAGCCATTTCTAGCTTTAGAGTATGCACCTAAAGGAAAACAGTTCTGCCTCTTTAATTCTGTATAAGCTGCCTCAGTCAATTAAGTTACTGATATTTAAGTGTGACTTCTGCAGCATTTATGTTATTTGTCGTAAGGAAAGTATTAAATGCTCGAGGTGTCAACAGAGAAGGCCCTAGGAGAAAAGCACTGACTTTCAATTAGAAAACAATTTCTTAACTAAGCAAAAATATTGATCATTAGAAACACTTCTACCCTTGCCATTCTTGGCAATGCATACGTCTGAGCAAACAGATTGTCCTAGCTCAGCTGGTCTTCAATCCTGTTCCCACATGTGGGGTGGACACAATGGGTCCCTGTGCCTGACTGCTTTTCATCCTGCACACCTCTGATGTGGATTCTGTGATAGGGAAAACAAAGGAAGGCAATCCTTGATTTATTTAGAAATGAGGAAGATGTGCTTTTTGGGGGGAGGCAGTGACTCAAATTACAAGAGATTTACACATCAAATATTCTTTGCGAAGCCATTATCTTTGTGTGTTACATATGGAGGCAGGGCAAGGTGGGCACTGACTGCTGCCATGCTAGCAACAACACTTCATGCAAAATAGCCTCATCTGCTCTGCAGTGCATGTGAAGCCTTGTCTGCTCTATAAAGCTTCTTTCAAGAATCTCCTCTTCAGCCCTCTCATTTTTGAGAGATGAATATGACAAACTGTAAGCATGCGAAACTGCTGATAAACAACTCTCTAGTTGCAACAGCTAAGTTCTACTTATACACAAACTTCAAATGCTGAACCAAATTATAGGATATATGAGGTGACTTTCAGTAAGCAGCAAGAAATCACAGCTGGTCAGAGGACCAGGAAGACCTGTGGAAGAGCAGTGGGGCGTCTAGCAGCTCTGAATCACTCTGTGATTGCATTTGCTGCATCTGTGTTGAAGAGTTGCCACACTGCCAGGAGAAGGAAAGTACTTTATCAGCACTTAAACCAATGCAAGATGAAGACTGATGTGCCTGGATGGGGGGCTGCTAGGTAAAAAGTAACAAGGAGAACAATGAAAATAAGCCATAGAATGCTGCAATTACCTACTTCTTTTCAACGTTCTGGTCAACCCCTGGATACAAGGGTCATGCTCTGCAAGAATCACATCCTTTCATTTCAAATAGTGCAGAGTCTGGGCCAGAGACACTGATTTTCTGTTGCTATTGCTTCCAGGTTTTGTGCTGAGAAGGGGAAAATGCTGACTTTCTAACCTGTCAAAATCTGCAGTGTGGCATTTCAGACAGGAATGAGAATCACAGCAAGTCTGCCTGCCAGCCCTGCTGAGATGCATGCTGAATAAGAGACTTGGGGACTCTATCACACTGAACCATGTCTGGCTGCCTGACCTCTCTTTGCTGGTGAGGATTGACCCCAGCTGAACCTTACATGAGAATAAAAAGAAAAAAAAAATTTAAAAATACAATTTTATGAAGAGCAGACAGTCATTCCTTTGAATGAGCGGATCTATGTAATATGGTATTAGAGGCTGTCTTATCAAGAATTATATACAAATCAGCTTGACACTGTTCAGGTTTGACAGTCCTGTGTTAAAATTACAGCAACACACACACAATAGCAGTATTACCAATCATAAACAAAGCATTTGCTGCCACAAATGTGGACACAGTGATTAACGCATGTACTGTAACAACCCTCAGCAAAGAAAACACAAGTAAAATTTGTTCAGAAAGCAGTCTGCGGAGTAGAGAGAATTGCTGTAGTCACGTTCTTTGCTTTCCCAATGCCAATACTTTCTCTTAACTATGTGTCTGTTTCTTTTTCACACAGCCACCAGGCCAGAAAAGATCAGGAAGTGTTACTGAGCACAGCTTGTGAATTTGACAACTTGTTGCCCTGATCTTTTTGCCAGTTTGAAGTTCATAGCTGCTTGCTTCTACTACCTTTAATTACTACGATGCAGCCTGCATGGAAATTCCTGGGCCTGGCTTCTTTTATTGCAGCCACCTTCTTTGCTAGTTTTGCTTCATTTTCCCACTCTCCCCTTTATTGCTACTTACTCAAAGGGGTCGCTGGGATCAGCTCTCTGGAGCTCAGGAGGAATCGGGATTCTTTTGTAGTACATTTCCCAGTCAAAAGCTCCTCGCATGGCATCCCCTGCCTGTGCCTCGTAGCCAAAATGATTGTGGTCAATGACATCGATCATAGGACACACGATGGTTTTGTGGTTTAGTGCAATCTGGTCTGAAAAATGAAAGTAGAAAATAGGAAATGGCATGTCTAGTCAAGCCATCTGTCATATTACTGCAAAGCGAATCCCACAGGTTTTTTGATGTTTGAAGATCGGTTGCTTCGTTTCCTGTGGCCCCCAAAACATTTCATTTTTCAAATCTGTATCAAGCCTTTGTCTAAGAGGACTTAATGCAGTTGGGCAATGATTAGAAGCATTTACAGTTCTTTAAAGGGAGGCATATCCCTCAGAGACCCACAGGAGTCCAGTCATCTGTATCTCTGTCACTTTGCTACTCTAAGCTGTCCCCAATCTGTCAGCTATGCAACAAGCCAGCGAGCAAAATGTAAAAATACTCCTTCAGCTGCGGGGAGTGTATATGGCAGGCTCCTGTGAAAGAGATTCATGTTCCCAAATGCAAATCTCAGACTTTGCAACCATTCAGCCCCTGCTCTGTAGCACTGGTGAACATCAGCTCCGAGATCAAAAGCTAAAATTAAAGGCAAATTCCAACACAAGGAACAAAATAGGGCTGCCGTCCTTTTTGTGCCTTTCTTGGCAGTACAGAGAAAGCCTTAGAGCATTATTCTTACTCACCTGTTTTATAAAGAAGGGGGTTTCAGTTGACTTAAAAAAAAAAAATAAAAATGAAGCTTTGAGACTAAATCAAATTCCCGTCTCTAATATAAAAGCAGTGTGGGCCTGAGTCTGCCTTTGGAGAATCCTACTGCTTAATCCCTTAGAGCTTCCCAGAAAAGAAATAAAAGGAAAGAAGATATGCCAACTGCAAGAATTAGGCAGAAGAATCATGTTTTGAAGTGAGGAAGTACACGAAAACTTTGTAGCTGCACTTGAATTAAAGAACAGCAGAAAAATTATCCATGAAACCTTGAAAAAACAAGGTCTCAACATTGTAACTGTAGTAAAGCTTTTTCTCCAAATGATATCCTAGATTCTCTACAAAATGTAATACATTTTCTAAGCCTACGTGATTTTTTTTAATAAGAATTAGATTTCACTAGTGCTTGGAAATATCCTAGAAAAGCCCCCAAATATCAGAGGGAGGAATGTATAACGAACACTTAGATATTAAGGCAAGAAATATTAGCATGATTATTACCAATGTGGACCTTCTTTCCCTGTTTATGAAGGACTGAAATGAAAATTTTATATATATATATATATATATATATATATATATGTATGTTTTACCAAAACTTTTGTTGCTTTTATATTTATTCTCAATTATTATTAAGAGACTGTCCAAATGGGGAAACAACACTGACTGCTAGTGAGAAATTGCTATACCTGGGAGATTTACATCCTAAATCTTGAACAGCAAAATAAATTTAAAGTGCAGCTCTCACAATATTCTAGGAAACTTTTCTGAGAGATAATGGCTGCATTACTGTTGCAACTGCCAAATATAATTACATTCACTGATATACTATGTAGTGCTATCTGTAATCATCATGTAAGGTCATTTTTATATGATCTCTTTCCTGTGATGGTCCTGTCAATAATTACAGGGCTTATGATAATCTATCTCTGATCCTTGCTTTGTGAACAGATTGGAATTGAGAAATTAAACAGGGTTGATTTGGCTGGTGTGGCTCAAAGGTAGATCATAATGCATACACATCTTTTTCCCTTTAAGAGTTGCTGCCTTTAAATAGGTTGAAGGATTGGAAACAAGCAAAGACAGCCAGTGATACAACTGTTTGAGCAGTGCTCCAATTCAAACCCCATCTTTCTCCCTACAGGTCTGCAAGACTTTTGCAAGTAGGATGGTGCTAACATGCCTGATCAATGAGGAACCACAGCAAAATCTGGACATTTGAGGAAAGTAGGATGTTAAATTACATATCAGTGCACACCAAAAGGCAAAGTAATCAAACTTTCAGCGTTAGTGTTTCTTCCAGTATGCCTGAAATAATGAATTTTACATACAGGCTTTAAAGGCTTAAACGTAGCCTTAATATGAATTCAGGACACAGATAAAAGTGCTGTAGGGGCAAGCTTATGTTCCCTGAGAGTACTGGTATCATAGCTTTACAGATGTGAACATGCTGCTGCCTTTGCCACCAACTGCTCTCTATCCCAACTACTCCTAACGTAAGACATGCTTGCTTCTTCCAGCTGGTTTGCCCCTCAGTTTCTTACTTCAAGCCCATGACAACTGATTTTTGCACTACACTGGACTCAACTACAGCAGCTGGAGTCCAAATTACAGTTCTCCTTCAGCTGACTTCACACTACTGAGAAGTGATACCAACCAGCTGTGTTTGCCAACATTTTTACATGGCTACAGCTGCCTGCTTAGTGACCAGCAGGCAAAACTCCCTGCGATCTCAGTCTTGGAGTGGCTGATCTCAGTTTAGAATGCCATTTAAGCTAGCCAAATAAACTAAATAAAGCTTAGAAAAGTAAAGAAAAGCCATTTTGCCGCCATTTTAAGAAAAAAAATAAGGGCTGTAACTGAAATGAATGTATTTTTTTCCCCACAGAAAATACCTATCATTGAGTTATTTTGATATCTTACAAGTACTGAAGCAACTCAGTCTTCCTATGGTCTAAAAAGTGATAGTCAATTCTAAAAATGTAAGCCAGACGCCTAAATAACTTTGAGAACTGTCTTTAAGTGATTTTTTTTTTTTCTTTTTCCTTCTGTCTTTTATCATGCAAGGACTGACTTTGAGAAGAACTGCCACTACTGTGGAGCAGTACAAGTTATTGCCTCTCTCAGTGAAGACTGGCAATCTTCACTCCAGCATGGAATTGAAATGGGCTCTTTTTGAGGACTTTCCACTATGCTCAATGGATGAAAATTACAGTTAAAATAGGGCAGCTTCTGTTTTGGTTTCCTTGAACAACATGAATTCAAATGCAGTGCTGTATGAATCACAACACAAATCTTTAGGTAAACACTTGCAAATATCTATCTATATTTATCAGCTTTACTATTATTAGATCTTAACCATCTAATGGTTCTGAGAAAATCTCCTCTTCCCTTTGGGGAAAGAGGGTATAAGGTGTTCTTACATTGAGTGTTCATTCACTATTTGCCCTCCCTCATGTAAAGCTTGTATTCTTTTCTTCAAAATCAAGCCTACTGCACATGGGCTCCTGTGTTCCACTAGATTACTTCCCAGATCCTCTGTCTGGTTTGCTAAGGGTATTTCCCCTGAAAGCAGACTGAGAAAGATGCTGTTGCACTTGAGAATTGGATAGAACAGGGTCTTGGTCCCCTTCTATCATCTTTTCACTTTTCTATCTCAAGGTTGAGGATTGAGATCATCAGTGCAACATCCCTGTGAACCTAGTTGCTATTATGAATTCTTTGTGGCCATTCTGTTTAGCATCATTTATTTGGTGAAACCCAGCTAGGTGTATCTTTGCTTTACACAAGAAAACAGGAAAAGGAACTGTTTTTGCAATTTGCAATTTTCCCACATCTAAGCTAGCAAAATACAAGGGTTAAATATCATCTGCAACAACTTAGCAAAAGATTTCAGCAGACAAGAGCGACAATCTTCCTGATTTTTTTTTACATTAATAGTGATGTACTGTGCACTTTGGGGAAAAATCAGAAGGTAAAGGAAGCATATGTGCACTGCAGGGTGTTGAACGGCTATCTGTCAGGGCTGCCTGTGGAAGGAGCATTGAAACTCACATTTCTCTCTGCTCCTTTATACCATTTGGGCTTTGCATGAAGACAGCGAAGTTACTGCTAGAAACGCTGATCTTGTGACTACGGGCGGTATGGTAACAAACGGAGAGAGTATAAATTGATATGGAAGCTAGAAATGATGTAAATTTGGAATTTTGTAATTATCCTTCTACTGATCTGAAGAAAAACAGTTAATATTTCTGTTTTTTGGTCTCAAGTGATTGTTCATTAGCAGAACAATGCCTCCCCTTGGCTGTAAATGTTTATTGGCTTATCATATGGGCTACAAACAAGATTCAAGAAACAATGACCACTAGGTGATGAAACGCTTTCCTGTCATACCATTATGACGTATTCTTGTAATTAATATAAATTTCCTTAATAACAAATTCAGAAGTTTTATTTAGCTTTGCTAGCAGAAAGCACTCATTTTCATAAACTTTGCATGTAATCAGGAGGGCAGAAGAGTGGACATTGTTTCCTAAGTGAAATCCTAGACTACAACAATTGATTCTTTCCATTTCTTTGACTAATGGAGCTTTGCTGGGTGCAGCTGGAATCCAGCAAAGCAGTCAATAGCTAATCATTCTCTCTGAGCTTTCTATTGTGAATGTGTTGTTATTGGATTTAACTCTGAAGTCCTAGATACATTTGCAGTGAAAGCTATTTTAATGGAATGTAGAAGCCTAGGAAGGAGTATGAAAAATGCATAACAAAAGTTTTCAGGTGTATGGTAAAGGCATAGCACAATACTAGATTTAGTAGTCTATTTAGTAGTAGTAATAACACAATAAAATGTAACTCTAATGTAACTCTGATAGGCCAAAGTGTCACTTCTAAATCTCACTAGTTCTTTGGTTGCAAAAAAAAAAACCAAAACATAAATTGGAGCTGCTCGGGTTTCTCTGAGTTGTCTCTCATATTGCTTCTTCAGACACTGCAGTGCAGCTCCAAATGCTTCTATACATTTTATGTCCTTATGGTGAGCTGTGGCCTGGATTGCTTAAACTGTGCTATACGCTCTACTTTTAACGGCTGATGAAAACTCAGACACTTACTAAGCAGGGGAGGCAGCCAATTCACGTTGACTTCGCAATGGGAATCCAGAAATGTCAAGACTTCTCCTCTAGCCAGCGAGGCTCCTAACAGTCTGGTCCGAATGAGCCCTTCTCGTTTCTTGGTACGTACAATCCTCACTTTGGCAAAACGGACCATGTATTCCTCCAGCTTCTCTTTTAAATGTTCTAGAAAGAAGGGCAAAAAAAGCGTCAGTTGTGCCAAGACTGGAGGAGCCAACAGAAGGACAGGTTGGCATACAACCTGCAAGCTTATCCATTTCCATCTCTTGTCTTTTCAAGACCTCCAAAATCTGCCACAAATCCTCTCTGAGACGGTTCAGAAAGTGCAAATGCTGTGTTTTATCACCCAGAGGAAGACACTGACTCTCTGGACCTTTTGCTGCAGTTGCTACTGGCAACCTGCCATCTGCTATATATTCATGACCAAAACAACTGCAGGATATTCATGCATCCTCTGGTTCCCACAGCCCAAGGCCACACAAAAATTCTGGCATACTGTTTTACAGAAAGTGTCTGTTCCAAGTGGACTTGCTATTATCAACTAAGTACTATTATCAAGAAATGAACATAGAAATCAATTTTTAAAAAGTAAGCATTAAACTAGCACAATTAGACTGCTTTATTAATGGGGAGGGAACCAGACATGCAGATCTTAAAAGGTGGATACCTGCATGAAGTAAATGGGCAGCTAATAAAATTAGGCTCCAAATGTACAGCAGTCGATATATTTCTTATCTGCATAATCTGGCTTTGCTTGTGTCACAAAACAGCACTTTAGGGAACCTTCTCTATTCTAAGTGAAAACACACACTGAAACCACAAAAACCAAAACCAACTATCACCAAAGAAATCAGACCTTAAATTTTTAGCTCTTCCTAAATGCATCTGCAACAGATACACTGATCTTTTGCCTTTGATGCAACACCTCAGCTTCTCAGATTCATTGCTTTGCAAGAATTTGATAACTTCTCTTGGCAAGGAAAGAGGGAGAAAAAAGGTTGGTCTCCATTATCAATAACATGGCAAGATGCCACAGTAAGTGATACTAGGAGTTGTAAGCTAAATCTCACTGATACAATTTTGCTACGTTACGATTGCCTCTTGTATCAGCTCTCTATTCTTTGGACTTGTATGGTCAGTACAAGCCTTGATCCAGACCTTACATCACAACTGATTGCAATAAGTTTGTTACAGACTACTAGAAAGTACTTTAGCAATGCCCTCAAGTGTATGTATGCATAGATTTAAAGGAAACAAGCAAACAAGACACAGCTCAGAGAATACAGGATATTGTGTTCAAATAAAATTAAGCTCCACAGAAACAGCTTCCTGCACATGCACCTCCTTTTGTCTCCGCCCCTTACTTCCTAGCTGATCAACATGCAAGACTTTCTAAATGTACCTGTGGAATAAGAAGTAGTAGAAAACATTGAATTGTCAATGAATTGCTAGCAAACCTGAAGCAGCACAGACAATTTACATGTGTTTAGTAGGGCAGCATTGCATAGAATATTTCTTAATGGATTAATCTCGTTGCACTCTGACACTGATGAGGGAGAGGTCTGAGATTTGACAAAAGCAGCTTGCAAGGATTACAGACGGTTGGGGCATTGGAAGGGAGAAACTCAACTTTGGAAAGGCTTTGGAGGCCTGCAAGTCATGACAGTGGTTCCCATGAGAAGTATTAGATCAAGCAGTAAACAGAAGTGTGGTAGATCTCCTGGGGTCACTGTGAAAAAAACTGAGAAATATGATGAGGCCAGGTATTAGACAAAAAATAAGGAATGACATTCAAATAAAAATCAAATGGTTTTGACTCCTACAGTATGGCTGAAAGGAGAATTCCCAGGTTTTCATTTTGAAAAGAGGTATCCCTTTTTTTCATCCCAATTTGCTACCTACATTTCTCAATAAAAGCCAACACAATCCTGCAGCAGTAATGATGACAAGAGTTGTACTGTGTCTTTGAATGATAATCTCTATCTGCCCAACCACATCTACATGACAAGGGCTGCATGCCACTCAGACTCGTTATAGGTACCAGCTATTCAGTATCATGACTGGCCTGAGGTTAAATCAGGTTTTAGATCATTTTGTGCCCGTGTACAGGATTGCCTAAAGCGTGTATTTATTGACCTGTTTTCCTGTTTTTATGAGCTCCACTGAGGCTATTCCCATAGTGCAGGAATACAGAAGAAGGGAAATAGACCTTAAAAACAAAGATACAAAGAGTCCTTACAGGAAATACAAGATAGACTGTTAGGGCTGTCAATCATAGAATCACAGAATGGCCTGGGTCGAGTTTCAACCCCCGTGCTACGCGCAGGCTCACCAACCATCAGACCAGACTGCCCAAAGCCACATCCAACTTGTTCTTAATTGCATCGTTTTATGGCCATGAAAAATAAAACAGTTTTAAATTGACAGGATATTACATATTTCCAAAGATCAAATCTCATCTCTTAGATACCATGTCTTCTTTTACTCCTGAGACACCGTGCTAATTTCTGTAGTACCTAAGGTCATGTAAACCCTCCCCTCTGATCTTTTCCATCCACAAGTCTGAAGTTTCATCCACACTGCTATATCATGCAAAATTAGTTATTCAGCTATATAAACAGAATAGAGACTAATAATATAAATTTGATTTGTAATATGATTTGGTTGAGCTCAGACACAACTAGTGACAAACTCCATGAAATCAATGATCGTTCATAATCTTCCTTCACTGATTCCTTGCAAACTCTGGAAAAGTGGCCTCCCACGCTTTTATTATTTTTATTTTTTTATTTTCTACTTTGCTGAAATAATAGTCAAAATTCTGTACAGCAAACACCATCTTCCTTCCTTTCCTTCAAATATCTATTCACACATTTCAGACAGAACGCCATTTGGTTTGTGAAGAATGGCATTAAAACACCTAGCACATCTTCTGAAATCAAAATCACACGTACCAACTTTGTTTTCATCTACTCAGTCCCATAACTGATTTTTTTTTTTGTATTATGGTTCAAAGAAAAACCCATAAATTAGCTGAAGTATAAAAACAAAAATTCATATCTTATTCATGCTGAATTTTAAATACATTCTCATTTAGACATATTTGGAAGTAATCAGGACAAAAACAAAACGAAGAGTTAGTTTTGATAAAGCATAGACAAGTGACCTTGAAAAAAAGATCATGTCTATGCACAAAGGGAAGTATATACATTATTAGAGGTAAGACCTAGATAAAGTATCTGCATGTGTTAAAACAATGATGCTAATAATATTCTAACAATAAATCACAACAGAAAGATATGCCTATTACAGTATCTTATCTATTTTTAGCTATGAGATTTGTTCAAGAAGGAAATTTGGGAAAGTTATTTTGGAAAAATATGAAGTATTTAAGTTCAATAGCCAACAGTAACATTCTCTGTTCCGAGAATGAACACATAGTGGAGAAAAAATGTCCCTTTTGGACATACAAGTAATGATAAATATATTTTTAAACCTAATATGAAAGAACTCTCACACTGTATTTTCCCTTGCAATGTATTGTGTCACTATCTAGTTCTAATCTTACCAGTCTCTGATACCATAAACAAACACAGAATAACAGCCAGTAGCAGTAGGCGAGTAGAACCACAGAATCCTTAGGGTTGGAAGGGACACTTAAAGGTCATTTAGTCCAACTCCCCTGCAGCTCCAGAGCCTCATTCAGCCTGACCTTGAACGTCTCCAGGGATGGGGACTTTCAACACATCACTGAGAAACCTGTGCCACTGCCTCACCACCCTCACTGTAAAAGGCTTTTCCTTATGTCCAGCCTAAATCTCTCTTCTTTTAATTTGAAACCATTTCCCCTTGCTCTGTCACCAAAGAACCTGCTCAAGAGCCTGTCCTTTTTTTTCTCTACAGCCCCCCTTCAGATACTGAAATACCACTCTTAGGTCTCCTTGAAGCATCTGGATGCAGTTCTCCAGGTGAGGTATCAGCACAGAGTAGAGGGGCAGGATCACCTCTCTCAACCTGCTGTCCATGCTTCTTTTGATGCAGCCCAGGATACAGTTGGCTTTCTGGCCAGCACACTGCTGGCTCATGCCCAGCTTGCTATCTACCAGTACACCAGATCCTTTCTGGCAGGGCTGTAATCTATCCTTTCATCCCTCGGCTTGCACTGACAGTAGGGATTGCCACCACCCAGGTGCAAGACCTTGCACTTGGCTTTGTTGCATGAGGTTCTCCTGGGCCCACTGCTCAGCCTGTCTAGGTCTCTCTGGATGACATCCCCTGTGGCCACAGCACACAGATGGGTGTCATCTGTGAACTTCCTGAGGGCGTACTTCATCCCACTGTTGATGTCACTGATAAAGACATTAAAGAGCATTGGTGTCAGTCCTGACCCCTAGTAGTAATCAGCCATAAAAAAAAAAAAGTGGCATTTTATTTTGTGTAGAGAAATTTTTAAAACATATCCTTCATGTTCAGTTATTCACCAGTTACTCCTGCATTGCTCAATTTACATGAAACTCTATTTAATGGTCATGTAGCAGTCAGCAGCTGGCTTAAGAGTCAGCTACCTACTAGAAGAGCCAGGGATGCTTCAGTGAATACAATACCTGGCAATCTCACAGTTCAAGTATTATTTAAAACAGATCAGAGAAGACTTTATAATTCTCTGTATGACAATAAATTTGACTAACAAATTATTTTGACAGTATTTATCATGATGTACAAATGTTGATTAAACTCATTTTTATCCCCAAAATAACAAAATAAACTGTCCCCTTTCACAGCACTCCAAAGATTTCCTTCTTAGAAGAAAAAAAAAAAAGTATTCTTTTTTTTTTTTTCTGATCATACTGTTTTGCTAATATTATCTCCAGAAGAAGCATCTCACACACAAAACCTATGCATTGTACACACATTTAGAAGCAAATAATCTCAGGTGCCCAAATAAACGTGCATCAATCAATGTCAGAGCAAAACTATAATTCTGAAGAAATCTTCTGAAAGAAGTTATAATAAAGTGCATGAAATTAAGAGGCATGAAATAAAATGGCCTTTAAATCTTCAGAAGACAACACATTAAGCCCATTTACTACCAAAGGAATCAGTTCAGGAAAGCTTACCATGATAATAAAACAAGGAGGTAGGATGGTTTCATTTATATGCTGTAA